ATTTATTTTTCGCTTGTTCTTTTAGAATACTCATTTCTGTATCCCTATTCGGTATTCTTAATTATTGTATAAGGAATGTATACTCGAACTATATTATTTCGCTTCCGCATTCAATTTATATCTTTATCTCCATTTCAAGTTCTGGCTCGTTACAATATTTCTATCAGGAGGTGTTATTACATATTATGTTTTTTTTTTTTGCCAAGGTTTTATCTACCAGATTTTCTTAAAAAGTTTTTGACAAAATAATATTTCTATTTTATGTATCATGAAACTGTCATCACTCATAGCTTTATTTATGGAAACCCATTAATTTAATTTAATTCAATACATAAAATCTATTTATTCATCAAATCATTACACGAAAAATTGATATATAACATTACAATATATCAACTAAGAGAAATAAAATGATATTTCTATCAGGAGGTGTTGTTCCATATTGTATTTTTTTTTTTTTTTGCCAAGGTTTTATCCCACTAAATTTTCTTAACAGGTTTTTGATAAAACAATATTTTTATTTTATTTATCATGAAACTGTCATCACTTATGGTTTTATTTATGGATGCCCATTAATTAAATTTAATTTAATTCAATTTGTAACATCTATTTAGTTTAATTTTTATAATAATTTGTACTTCTATAAATAGAGATTGTAAAGTGATTTGAAAGATACATAAATTAGAGAAAATAATTCTCGTTTTACCTTATATTAATCTTTTATTAGTTAATGTTTGTTACTATTGCCATATTTTATTTAAATATTAAGTTTTTAGATATCAAACTCATTAACTATTTATTAATTAAATAATTAGTGTTTCCACATTTTTTAATAAAATTGTGAGTTTGAATTAATCTATATATTATATGTGTTTCTATTAAAAATTTTTGGTATTACATAAATTATTTTATATTATATACAGATATCACTTAATTATTAAAATATATAATTTATATTAAAAAAATAATCTAATCTTACAGATTTTAAATCATTAAACTTTTAGATTTTATTGCATCACAACAAAAAATATTGATTAAATTCTTGAAAAAAATTATTGCATAATTAGACAAATCTCAAAAGTAGAATTACAAAAATATTAATAGTGTTAAATCATAATCTTATTATAATTAAGAAATCATAATAGCAAACTTAAAGGTTTTGAAAACAATTAAAAATTTAGTTTATACAGAAATATAAATAAATTAATAATAAAAATATTCTCCTAATGCAATACATACATGTTTGTTTACATGAAATTTTGATACATTTTTATATTTACCAAAATTTATAAATTAATTAAAATAAAAAACGAATGTGTGAATTAATTAATTAATTAATCGTCTCAGCTTTGTTATATCTATTTGTGCTTTCTTTTTTTTTTTATAATACAAATGTGTTAAATTTCTGGAATTATAAAGAGCTCAGCGCCGTTTCTTGAGAGCCAATCAGAGCAGAGCACGAGAAAGACAATTGACAAACGGACGGCAGATAAGATGCCAAACACCCGTGCAGATCCTGGACGAGCTGCAGTGGGTTCCAGCTGCCACTATACGCCGTCGTTTTACTATTTTAATAATTTAAAAAAATTATTTACCTCCTTTTCAGAGTTATATTAAAATTTCACGTAATAACAAATCGGAGACGGTGTATACACGAGACATGTCAGGATAGGCATTGTACGTGAGCCCGTAGTTAAGCATGAAATCTATCTGCAATATTTCTCAAAAAATAAATATAAAAAATCTGCTCCTATTAATCCAGAAGATTATCATATCAATTACCAGGAAGATATGGATATGGTACGTATATATATATATATATATATATATATATGCAATGGCGGGGGAGGGTATTGGACGAGCTTGTAAGATGGAGGTGTTGTACATCTATATATACATATATATATATAATTTTTGTGTACAATTTATGTCATATTATATATCTTATCTAATAATTTTTTTCTTGCTACAGGGTCTATGTAATTAAATATGACCTAGACAGTATTTGGATAGTTATGCCACATAATTTATTCTAATATTATATTAAATTTTAATTCAAAATCATATAAAAATTTTTAATAAAAAATCATTTAATTAAACATATACAATAACAAAATTGTAACCTAAGTAAGAAAAACAGGCATAGAATAACATTTTAACTAGTAAACACGAGCTTATCATCCCTATCTACTCTACATTTTTGTACTTAGAGATGGAAAATTAAAATTAGATACTTAAAGAGTTAAATTTGTGTACCTACCAACCTTATGTGTGTGTATATATATGTGTATACACTTATTCACCCATTTCTTCATCTAGCTTCTTCCGTGCTTAACATCCCTACGCTTTCCCCACTCATGCATGCACAGATGAAGCTTCTTACCGGCCGCAAGAAAATCCACAGCCTGCTGTGGTTTTAATATGTCAAGCAACCCTTTAAGCGTGTTTAGCCTCAACTTATCAGCATCCTCCAGGATATTTGTCATAACCATCTCCTGTTCATCAAGCTCCTTATTCACCCTCTCGCTCTCTTCATCCACGCTCCCGAGCTCAATGGCGATGAGTGAAAATGGCTGGTCCGCCGTGTCCTCCTGTGAGCTCGCCAGCCTTTTGGATAACTTGTCTTCTTCTCTGATTGTCTTTGTACGCAGATCGTCCACCATCGCAAGCTGCTCTCCCGACAGCTTGCGGAGGGAGTCGAAAGAAGCTGCTCGAGAGGTGGACGCGCCATGGAGAGCATCTAAGACATGGGCCTCGAGATTGAAGCCGCAGAGGGCGTAGAGGAGGCGGAAATAGGAGGAAGGACGGCAGCCAGCGATCCAGAGAAGGGAATTCTCCAAGGAGCTGTTCCATGAAGGCGCAAAGAAAGGTGAGGTATCTTTGCGGCAGAGTTCTAATCGTTTGTCAGCGTAGTCCTGGAAGCGTTGGATGATTTTCTGAGAAAGCTGAGTGCATGACTCGGTGAAGTCGACGTCGGCGGTGGTTTCTTGAAGGGTTATGGTGTGGAGGAGCTCTGTCAGCTCTCGCTCTTGCAGAGCCATCCAATCGTTGAAGCAGCATTGTGAATGGTGGTGGTCAGTATTACTGGAGTTCTCCATCGATGAAATCAATCTTCTCTCTCCTTTCTGTATCTGTATTTGAAACTCGAAACATATATTTATATATGTGTACATGCCATGCCACTAGCCAAAAGAAATTGACAAAAACAGTAAGGATCGAGATTGGTTATGGTTTCTGTGCTTTTTGGGGGGGAATGTGTTATGTGTGCATATATTTATATATAAATTATCTCCATCATAAGCGACATAATGTGTGTGTGTGTGAAACAGTATTAGTTATCCTTAGATCAATTCAAGATTATAAATCATATCTGTATTAAATTAAAGAAACTCGAAACAAATAATCATTCATGCGTTCAAGCCTTCCACGCAACCACGACAAAAACATAAACTTCTTAGAAAACGATGAAGTAAAAGCATGTCCCTGGTTTGTACAATTTCTGAATGTGTTATATCAACTGTCCTCTCG